AAGAACCAATTCTTTGGTTCTTATATACTTTGGGCTCTTGCTGGTTGGGCTGTACTTTTTTGGGCTAGTGTTGGTTTGGCCTAATTCTTTGGGTCTTATTTGCTTTGGGCTCTTGCTGATTTGGGTTGTTGTTGGTTTGGGCAACCACTGGTTTGGGTCTAGTGCTAGTTTGGCTATTTTCTTCTACTATGCTTGGATTTTGACTCTTGGGTTTTTGGGCTTCTTATTTGCTGGTATAGGTGACTATTGTTTTACCGGCATTGTTGCTAGTTGTCTTGTTGTTTTGCTAGACTTGCTCTTTTGGGTTATTATTTGCTATTTGGGTGTTGATCTGTTGGGCTTATTGATTTGTGTTGGATTTGGTTTGGGCTTGCTGATTTTGTATTGAATTTGGGCTGCCAACAAGTATTTTTGATACATTTGTGTTGGGCTTCTTATTTTGTGCTGGATTTGATTGGACTATGATTTGAATAATTTAGTTATTTTAATGGTCTCTAATATAATATTTTTCAGTTTTTTAGAAGTGGGTTTGAACTATTTCATGTGTAATTGAAGGATTGAGGCGAGTGAAGGCTATTTGGTACATTTGTTTGCTCTTTGATTATGTAAGGGATGGTGTAGAGGGTTTATAGCCTTGATTGTTATGTTTGCCTAATATTTTATGAAATTGTGTTTATAGCCTTGACTTTTATTTTGCCTAATATTTTATTTGATATGCATTTTAATTAATTTCTTTTTTACTACTCTGGGCAAATTAATAAATATGTAATGAGTACTAGCTTTTAAAGGTAAGATGATAAAATATGTAAGTTGTGTTTATGTTTAAATTTTTTGAGTTATGTTTTTGGAGGTAATTTAGTACATTTTTTATATATTCATCGGCGTTAGATATTTATTGTTATCATTATGCGCACTGTATTTTTCTCTTGCTAATTCTCATTTTTTTTAATTGATTTTTTTTGTGGTACAGTGCTTTTAGCCACGAACAATAACTAATAAATAAACTTGATAATTTGCCAAAAAAAATCGGGTCAACTGCACCCAAACTTGGATCCGACAGTTGCATTTCTGGGATAGGGCGCACTTCTCCTTGCCCCCATGAGCTGATGCCAAGTGGTCTAGAAAAGTTGAGAGAGAATTGAAAAACCAACACTTCTGCTAAAGCCCTAAAAAAGTGGGGGTAAGAAAATGGGGTTTCAGTTAGTTTCTTCTTGTCTTCACAATCACACTCCAACCATCAGATTATCCAAATCAAATACCTTCTCTCATCACACTGTAAGTAATTCTCATTTCGATACCTCCTTCTCTTTCTTTAATCGAATACATGTATATATTGTTTGTCTCTGATTTTCTGTTCACTTCCGTTTTTTTTAGGTTTCTCCTTTGTATTCGATACGGAATAAGATATTTGAAAGCGAGGTTGGATTGAGAAAACAAACACTTTGATTTCAGAATGAATTCAAATGTATGCTTTTGTTTCTTAGCCTCTGCTATCTTTGGTTTCTGGGTAAATTTTGTCAGTAAAATTGATTAGAAATTGAATTTATGGATGGTAGACTACAAAAATCTTCACTTAGCTGAGTGTAATACAGATTTTCTTGCTTAGTTAAGGGCTTATCTTCATTTTTGAAGGAAATATTTGGACATAAAACAAAATGTTTATATCATTTGTTTTTGTATGTTTATGTTCAAAGTGGAGTTTTTTTATGACAGTATATTTTGAAATTTCTTGGTCTAACGAGAACGTTTGTTTAGCAAAATTGGTGGCTGATATGAGGAGGAAATGCAAGTTCTCTTTACTACCGAGCTTGAAGAGAGGAGTAATTGTATGCGCTTCTGATTCTAATCCTGCGGAATCTGATTCTTATAGACAGGAAAACACTAGTGTGCGGATTAATGGGGGCAATGGGGTGGAATCATTTTGTGGGAAATCGGGTTCCATTTCATTTGCTGGGGTGACTCATCAGTTGGTTGAAGAAAGTAAATTAGTGTTAGCTCCTTCCGCGGAAGGCACTGGCTCGTTTCTTTGGGCGTGGGCCCCTATTGCCCTGATTTCATCACTGGTCCTTCCGCAGCTCTTCGTTGGTGCTGCAATTGATGGCTTCTTCGGTGATGAGATCTTCTCAGGTGTGTGGTCAATTAGTTATCATTTAGGCCGGTTTGCAAATGGCAAAATGTAGAAATCAGTAATTTATTTTCTTCAACTAAATAGAAATGGTTGAAATAATGGTTAAATTTAATAGGTGCATCAGTGATGGTGAAAATGCTAGGAGAAGAGAAAATCAAAATTTACAAGAAATGAAATGGTGATAGTAATATAGTTGCTTGAAGTTTAATTGAACACATAGTCATTGATAGCTTGGAATAGTAGAGGATGATTCATGTGGTGGACACCTAGTAATTGGGACAGCTTTGTTTGGTTTGATATATTCTCATGTCTCATCTTTTTGTGCAAATTATGTATTGTTTGCCGAGTATGTCAATCACTTGCAGACATTATTTTTTATTTACGTTACTTTGTGATAGTGTACTAAGATAGTCAATTCAACTTCTATCAAGTTTTAATAAATATTGAATTTTCCTTATCAACAAAAATATGACAGTTTGCTACATAAATATGTTTCTAAGCTACAAATCCTGGTTCAACAACTTGAGTGGAAAGTAGTTCCGATCAGATCTCATTTTGAGCTAGATTGCTTATGGCATGCTAGCAAACTAATGAACATGCAGAATGAATTCTTGACTAACTTGGAGAAATAACTTATTATGATCTTGATCTGTAATTTTATATTTGTAGAAGTATAGGTGCACACATTTTGTGTGCATACGTGCGTGAATGCTTACTTTTGTTTTGGAGGCTAAGCATTACTTAGAAAGACTTTGAAGAAACTTTGCTAGCTTGTTTTGATTTTGTTCTGTGAGCATGAGTCGGGAACAAAATTTCTTAAATCCCACCAAATTAATGTGATTGAACAGTTGAAGTACATCGTAGAGATGCTGATAAGGTAGTTCATGCCTTAGCTAGATTAAAGAGCCAAGTGTAGCTTTAAAGCCTTTGACAGTATGCAAAACTATAATCTTTTTACTTTACTAAAGAGCCATGTAGGTGATTGACATTATTGAATTTCAGAGCCAGATAAAAATAATTTTTGGTCTGCTAGATTAATTGTGTAGAAAGAAATTAACATAAGAGATTGTGCTGCTAATTACAATCGTAGGCCATGTGTTGTACACATATGTAGAGAGAAGTGCATATCAATTGGTTAAATCTTGCGATGCTATCACATTATCATTTTTGTAATATCCATGTCTTGCATGGTCCAGAGCAAACATTCTGGATTGACATTTGCTGGTCTGGTAAACCCCTGCATATCGATTACAAGTTTCAGGCGCTTGCCTACTATGATCTACCTTGTAAAATAGATGGAATAACTTGCCTGGTCTCGTAATCTGTAAGGACCTACTTTGTGAGTTATTATGGGTTTGTACGCATCTTCATCTATTATCCTTATATCTTCTACTAAAATAAATGCATTATTCACTCTACCAAGTATAATTGTGCAGAAATTGTTGCCTCATTTGCTTCTGATATCTTCTTCTATATCGGACTTGCAACATTTCTGTTTGTTACCGACCGCGTTCAAAAGCCGTATCTTCAGTTTAGCCCAAAAAGATGGGGCCTCATCACAGGTCTCAAAGGATACTTGACATCTGCATTCTTCACAATGGGCTTTAAGGTTTTTGCGCCTCTCGTTGCTATTTTTGTCACTTGGCCAGTGCTTGGATTGCCCGCCTTAGTTTCAGTGGCTCCTCTCTTAGTTGGCTACCTGGCTCAATATGTATTTGAGAAACTTCTTGATAAGCAAGGGTCATCTTGTTGGCCTCTCGTGCCCATTATTTTTGAGGTATATGATTTCTGTATTTGTTTGCTGTCTATTATTTTTGAGGTATATGACTTCTGTATTTGTTTGTTGCCTATTATTTTTGAGGTATATGACTTATATATTTGTTTGCATCTTTCCCTTTGAAACAAAGAGAAGAATTTCCACAACTGGTATTATTTTGGCAGGTCTACAGACTATATCAGTTGAGCAAAGCTACTCATTTCATTGAGAAGTTAATGTTTGCAATGAGGGGCGCTACTCTGTCCCCAGAAGTGCTAGAAAGAAATGGTGCCTTGGTTGCAATGATAGTGACTTTTCAAGTCCTTGGTGTGATTTGCCTGTGGTCATTGCTGACATTTCTTCAGAGGCTCTTTCCTTCCAGACCTGTAGCAGAGAAGTACTGATGCTTGTAAGGGATTCTGTGGAATACTTGTAAAAATTTTTACTGTGTTAGATCTATGCTTGTAGAGGATGCTTTTGAGTTCTTTTGTGGGCAAAAATTTGCACAATCACTAGAATGTTTAAGTTGTGCTCCTAGTCTTCGATTATTGTCCGGTCCGTGAGTTGCAAAATCAGAGAGCTTGGAGAGACCCCCGACATTTTGTCAGGGGAGACCCCTCTGATGCCTAAGTCAGTATTGCGATTAATATTTGAATGGGCTAGGAAAATGATAAAAGGTGCGTGTGTGGAGTATGGAGCCAAGGTGCTCATACTTGAGGCCCCCTATCTTTAGGTCTTCACCCATATTTATAGAGAAAATAGAGAGTTACTTATCATTGAGAGGTCATGCTCCTTGAGTTGATATATTCTTGAGATATGTGTCTTACATTGCAAGTATCAAAAACTGTGTTTGACCCTAATTGGTCAATCAACAAGATTGTCAGCTTTGTATTATCTTGAGAGGATAAATCTTGGATCACATTATAATACACCCATGTGATGCAGGGCCTTCCCCATTGATGCAAAATATGGTCCATCAATTCTTATCCTTTTGATTGAATATTAGGTCTTTGCACCCTTAGTCTAGGCTCTTTTAGGTTAAAGAGAAACAGAATTACAAGATTAGAGCATTAAGAAACAGTAGCGATAAATATCTTCATCGTCTGTATGAAATTATACATGCATGCCATATGTTGCATCAGCTTCCAATAAGCGACGCTGATCATTCCTTCTATAATAACTCCAACATAGGTATAGGTTTCTGGTAGAGTTCGACTTGGAAAACTTCACAGAACTCCTTGACCAAAGATTTGTGGGTGATATTAATCAGAAGGTTATCATCGCCATGACGATATTTGTTGTTCCATGCCCATCAGATGATATAGATTCTCCCAGCATCCCTTTTATGCTTCCAACTCGATGATCCTGTATCCCACATGGGACTATCCATTGAAAGGGTGTTAGATCTGTGGTGACATTCGGTTCTAAGTCGTGATATGCTATCCACTGTGATACTCATATCCCAATAGCTGCGAGTTTCTCATCTCCTGATGCAAGTGAATTTGTAAGGCTCCAAATGTTTTATCTCCACAAAACAGAGGATCAACATAACATACTGCTATTATAAAAGAAGCTTAAACTAGAGGTGTAAATTAGGGTACCATTGAAATTCATGATTAGTTCTCACTTGTAATTTGCTGAACCTAAAAAAAAGATAAAAAATATAGGATATAATGCCCTTCTACATCAATCTTGTATTTAACAAATTCTAAGAAACTGGTAAATAAGGAGTGAACTAGCTTTTCTGGGGTTCACATAGAATAGTGTACAGAGAGCCCTAACAGCAATCCATCTTTTGCTACGCCAGTAAACTAGTGGGGATGTTGAAGTAAACACTTTAAAGCTAATGCAAACATACTAGACTTTCTGAAGTACACCATATAAACTACTAAAAACATTGGTGAAAGGATTGCAAAACATACCAACCCAAACACCAGTTAAACCCTCTAGCCTGGAAGGCTTAATCAAAAATGTTGAGAAAAGAACACGAATGACCACCTCCTCTAGCGTCCTAAGGTACCAAGGAAGATTCATCTTGTGACAATGGAGATTGATAATAGGGTACATAACTAGCTACATTGCAACAAAGATGCATAACATGTTAGGTACACAAAACAACCAAAAGGGGTAGACCTTTCAATGCATTGTTGCTCAAATGAAACTTCAAATCTTGCACCCAGCTCAGCCATGACATAAGGTTTTGGGAGGAAGGGTGCAAGTAAAAACTTAAGACTATTAAATTATATTGCGTTCTCTATCATATTCATAGAAGCATACTTATAGGAAGAAATAGGTTGTCCCTGTGATTCAATATTGTTTTTCTCTGATTTTCTATGCATATCATAGTTCAAATGGCATTGAATTCTTTGACACTAACAACATAAAAAAACCATTTTATACTTTTTTCTCTCTCTCACCGGCGACATCTCCAGTGCCACCGCCATTGCGCCACGGCCTTGGTTTTCTCCCAAGTGCCCCTCCCACCCTCCTCTCTACCCCCTCTGTGCAATCAAACCCTCTTCTTCTGTGCAACCCCCTCCCTTTGCGCAACCCACCCCCTACACACGGAACACACAACACAATTGGTTGAGTTTGGGTCTGGGTTTGAATTAGTTGAAGAGTTTGAGTTTGAGTTCAATTAATTGGTCGGGTCTGGGTACAATTTAAGCAATTAATTGGTTAATTTCTTTTTTTGGTGGTTTTGGGGTTGCAGATGTATAGAGGAGGGAAGATTTGTTTGACAGTGCACTTCAAGCCACTATGGGCGAAGAATTGGTATGATTGATTATGTTGTTTTTGATTTCAATCTTGAAGGGTTAAGGTTTAGTTTGTAATTCTCATGATGTGACATTGTTGAGCTATTATACGAATTTTAGAAATTTTGATATGTTTTCATTAATGATGCTTTGGATTAAGTAACTTTGAACTATGTCCTGATGGAAGATTGTGATTAGATCATGAAAACTCATAGATTTATAATTGGAACATTTCTTGGAGAACTATTCACCTGAATGCGGAGATGATTTCTCCTTATGGAAGTCTTTCTGTTTCTATTGAAGATACTACTACTTATACAACTGGTTTATGTTTTGCAGTCCTAGATTTGGCTTAGCACATGCTTTTTGGTTGAGTTTGGTTCTGGGTTTGAATTAGTTAAAGAGTTTGAGTTTGAGTTCAATTAATTGGTTTGGGTTTGGTTATGATTTAAGTAATTAATTGGTTAATTTTTTTTTCTTTTTGTTTTTTTTTTGGTAGTTTTGGGGTTGCAGATGTATAGAGGAGGGAAGATTTGTTTGACAGTGCACTTCAAGCCACTGTGGGTGAAGAATTGGTATGATTGATTATGTTGTTTTTGATTTCAATCTTGAAGGGTTAATGTTTAGTTTGTAATTCTCATGATGTGACATTGTTGAGCTATTATACGAATTTTAGGAATTTTGATATGTTTTCATTAATGATGCTTTGGACTAAGTAACTTTGAGCTATGTCCTGATGGAAGATTGTGATTAGATCATGAAAACTCATAGATTTATAATTGAAACATTTCTTGGAGAACTATTCACCTGAATGCGGAGATGATTTCTCCTCATGGAAGTCTTTCTGTTTCTATTGAAGATATTACTACTTATACAACTGGTTTATGTTTTTGCAGTCCTAGATTTGGCATAGAACATGCTCTTTGTTTGGGTCTTGAACTTCTGGGATATTGCGTGTTTGTGTAATCCAAAATTTTCATATTTGTTTTGGTTGTTCTCTAGGTCCTACTCCAAAGTAAGTTCTTGAGCTCATCAACTCTCTCTTTAGAATTTGATTGAAGTGTTAGTTGAAATTTGGTTATTGTTGTATGAAATTGATGGTGGAATATAATAAGTTTTGTTTGTTTGGATTTATTGTCAATTGTATGAGTTTTTTTATGTTTTTTTATTTTTGTTGAATTCAATAGATATTTGATTGGATGCAATTATGTGTTGGGTAGTGGTGCCATTTTGGTGGTGGTGTTAAACGTTACAGGTGAGCCTTTAAATTCTTTGTGAATTGAACATGCCTCTATCACTTATGAGCCATTAAATTCTTTGTGAATTGAATTCATTTTGCTTTCTTTTTCGAAACTTGGTTTTTTTTGTCATTGATGGCTTAATCTTGGAAATTCACCGCTTCTTTTGCCTTAGGTCATTCTGTGTTACTATTCAATCTAGCGTGTGACCAATATTTTGATAACCCTTCTGAATGTGGTTTTCATATGTGGTAATATATAGATGTGCACCTTATATGAATTGTTTTTATGTATGGGTTTCCATACGTTGTCATATTGCTCTTGAAATTCTGTTTACTTCATCATTTGTGTTTTAATTAATGTCTAACACACTCCCTGTTATGAATTACGGTCAAACTTTCTTGGTTTTTTGTTCTTTGTATCATACTTGTAGCTTTTTCGGTACTTTAAGAATTTTGGAGAAGGGTAATAAGTTACTCATTAAATTCCCTCTTTTGTTTTAAATTTTTTATGAAGAATTTTGTTAATCATGTGAAATTGGATGCTGACTTGATTGTTGGGTGTTATGAAATATGGTTTTTGTGATTATTTTGATGAAATTTTGTTAATCATAAGCACACTCAACAAAAAGGTGATCCATAGTTTCCACATTCTGATAACACATGCAGCACCGGCTCATCAAGGATACACCAATTCTCACAAAATTCGAATCCAAAGGCAAGGCATTACACACAATTTTCCAACCAATTAATTGAGCACTAGGAGCAGTAACAGCCTTCCAAATAAGCCCAGCCAGCACATTCACCACTCCCTCACCACTCCCTGTTCCTACTCAAATGCCAAGCTGTTTTGACAGCAAGAAGCCCATAGCCAGTCTCCTGCCAAATTAATTTATCCCCCAGATCTGACAGAACTATAAGAATGGTATATGGGTTGATGACTCAAATGCCAAGCTGGTTCTTTTAATGTAGTGGTGTTTGATGATGTTGAACATTTTGAAGTAGATTAAATTAAGGACATTTATGTAGCTTGGAGTTACGGTAGTTGATAAATTGGTACATGAAGGGAGGATTGGGCATGATAGTGAGTTGGCTAATTGGTTTCATCTATGTTTTCCTTTAAATACTGATCTACATGTTGATTTTTATGGGGTCTTATTTTTAGAAAAAATTCTATCACCCACCAAATCACACAAACGGGTCCCTATGACTAACCAGAAGTACATCATATAAACTACTAAAAACATCGGTGAAAGGATTGCAAAACATACCAACCCAAACACCAGTAAAACCCTCTAGCCGGGAAGCCTTGATCGAAAATGTTGAGGAAAGAACACGAATGTCCACCTCCTCTAGTGTCCTAAGGTACCAATGAAGTTCCATCTTGTGACAATGGAGATTGATAATAGGGTACATAGCTAGCTACATTGCAACAAAGATGCATAACATGTTAGGTACACAAAACAACCAAAAGGGGTAGACCTTTCAATGCATTGTTGCACAAATGAAACTTCAAATCTTGCACCCAGCCCAGCCATGCAATCAAGTTTTGGGAAGAAGGGTGCATGTAAAAACTTAAGACTATTAAATCACATTGCGCTCTCTATCATATTCATAGAAGCATACTTTTAGGAAGAAATATGCTGTCCCTTTGATTCAATACTTTTTTTCTCTGATTTTCTATGCATATCATAGTTCAATGGCATTGAATTCTTTGACACTAACAACATGGAAGTCAAGGATTTTAATCACAGAATTTCAAGCCTTTCTTTTTATATAACCAGGTTTAAACGGTTTTTGATTTTAGATGACAGTAATGTGTGATGTGACAAAAATCTTATGTGGAACACACCAAATTCGGATTAGCATGCTGCGTTCAAATACAATTAACAGAAAATTCCAAGGAAGAGGTAATGCAAACAACTATTAGAAATGTGCTAGGAAAGTAGATGACACTACCTGACCAGGTCCATGATATGTAACTTCACCACCGCGTTCGGTTCGATAAACATCAAAAGGAGCATCCTTTAACTCAAAATTCAGGTGGTCTTTGGTACTACCGGACCCCAAGGTATAGACAGGGTGGTGTTGAAGAATAATCAGCATTTCCGAATGATCTTCATTCTGTTAAGCCAATGCTTTCCTCTCTTCAACAATGGACTTTTGCCAAGACCATGCCTCAACATGTGGAACTAACTCTTTGTGCATATCAAAACACACACCTGTAATTGGAATGAGCCTCCTATGAGGCAATTTACAATGCACACAAGGCGTTTGTTAAAATGCGGGAAAGAAGGAAGAAAAAGTTATCGTCGTTTACCTTCAAGGGTGGTTACTGAAGTCACCTTCAATTTGTTCAAATCAAAGACTTGATTCAAATTTGATATGAAAACGAAAGAGCGAATATGGAGACCTCTCTTTAAACGAGTGCGAGTTTGAATTGTTGGACCCACATTGGGATTTGCTAGTGAAGAAGCCCATTGATTGCTAGCTAGGATGTTTGAGAATTATATGTGAAACGGGTCGATTTGGCTGAAGTTAGAAAGAACTATGCAGTATGCACACCTGTGCCAGGGATGATGACGCTTTCAGAGTGGTGGAGCAACCCAAGAATGAAGGGAAATACCTAAATACCATAGGTGATTGATTCTTAATTAATTCTTAATTAGAAAATTCGTTAAATTACGAGGAATAATCTGTGCCTGAAGACACGGTGTAATTAAAAAAAATTGAATGTTGAATTTGAACGCGAAATAAGCAAGTACTAAACTCAAACACGGAATAAATAGAAAGTCTAAACTCGTCCTATATCATGTGTTTGAAGGCACTGTACATAGTTTTTAAACACGAAATAATCAAATAATGAATGTAAACATGCATTAAGCTGAACATCATTTGATAATTTTTAATGTCATTATTTTAGTGAAATAAAAAAAGTCAAAATATAAAAAACGTTCAGATATTTGACAGAGTATCCTTTGAAAATATGATGTCACAAATATATTAACCTAAAATCAATTACTCATGCAAACAATGAGAACAAAATTGTTGGCTCATAGATTATTGGGCGCCCTCTTGGCTTTTTGTCTGTCAAGGATGTAGAAGTGAAGTCTTGTTACTTTTTCCTTGTGGCCGAACTTTGAGAACCTTCGTTCCACTACTTTTGGCTCTTCTGTAATATATATATATATATATATATATATATATATATATATATATATATATATATATATATATATATATATATATATTTTGGTTTTTAGATCTTCTTTCTCGATCTTCTTCTCCTGTCATTTCGTGTGTTGCCACTGAAGGAGACTGCTTGTCAAGGATTGCTCTTTCGACTGAAATCTAGGGTTACTAGTTGAGTGGCATGTCGTCAATTGCGTGTGTGTGTGAGAAAGAGAGACAGAGGGGTTACACTGATGTGTGTTAGAGAGAGAGGGAGACTGAGGAGACAGAGGGAGACAGAGATAGAGAAACAAAGGGGGGGGGGAGAGAGAAACCGAGGGAAACATGGGTTGGGGATTTAGGGTTAGGGAAGAAAATATGGGAGAATGGTGTGATTTATATTTATTAGTTATATTTGCGACTAAAGTCACTGTACACTTAATTATTACACTGTACATGGATTGAAATGTGTGTGTTGAAGTTGTGTATGTATGTACAGTTTTGTGTTGTAGAATATGTGTTGGATTCTTGAAATTTGGGGAGGAAAGTGTGTGTTGAGTATATGAAATTTGTGGAGAAAATATACCCCCTATAAGTTCAAACACTTATCTAATTTATTATATAGATATTTAATATTTTAATGACCAAAATGATACAATTGATATATTAGAGATTAAAATGAGATAAACTTCATACTTTGAGGACCTTCGGTGCAATTAATCCTAATTTTTTTAAAGCTATCCATTGACCCTAGATTTATAGGAGGAATTGAATTTTTAAGTCAGTTCTAAATATGCTCAATAAATCTGTCAAGATAGTTTCAAACTATTTGATACAATTAATTAATTAATTAATTAAACAAATTAATTTAAGAATAATACTTGATTAAAAAACCAAAATGACACAATCAAACTTCTAGGTCAGCGAATAGCCCACGACTCGATGCAAACCCGTTTAGAGCTTATTAGGGATAGCTAGAGTCCATCACTGTGACTGACATATAGCGTGACCCACAGACTTTGGGCCCAAATAGTCTAATCCGGGCTGGTCCAGTCTGTTGACAACAAACTTCTTCCACTGCTGATGCTTCTTGTGACGGATATATCCACTCTCCAAAATTTATAATTTTTCAAAAATTAAATTATAATTTTTTAAAATATAAATTATAATTACAAAAAATATGATCGATCATAAAATATTATAATTGGTTACAAAAATTACAACTTTCAAAATGTCAAAGTTGCATTTTTTAAAAATAAAATTACAACTAATTAAGAGAGATTTATAATCTATCACCATATTTTATAGGGTTAATCTTACCTTGCACCTTGAAAGATTACTCAAATTTCAATTTACACCTTCAAAATTTAAAAATATTAATTTGTACTCTGAAAAGACGTAAATTAGTATCAATGTGCATTTGGAACTAACTGTAGTCCATTTTGCCATTAAAAAATTTGAGTTAATTATAAATTGCATACTCAAAGTTTAAGTATTTCACATTTATGATCCAAAAAGAATTACATCCATTAATGCTCATTAAATAATTCTCAATTGTATCATGTCATGCCTAACTTTAAACAAAAAATAGATATTTAATGAGTATTGTAGGTAAAAAAAATGGTATTTTAAAAAAAATTGAATAGTATTATATGAATTATCGTAAATGTGAAATATACGACACAATGCAATTGACTCAACAAGAAAATAATGAGTATTAATGGATAAATTTTTTTTTGGATCATAAATGTAAAATATTTAAATTTGAAGGTGCAATTTACAATTAGGCCAAACTTTTTTGACGGGAAAATAGACGGTAGTTAACTCCTGTTGCACATTGATATAAATTTATATTTTTTAAGGTGTAAATTGATATTTGTAAACTTTGAGGGTACAAATTAAGATTTAAATTATCTTTTGGGGTTTAATTTGATATTAGCCCTATTTTATGATTGATCACTGTATGTCTCCACCTTTAAAAGTTGTAATTTAATTCTAAAAAATAATAAATTTTATTACATATTTAAAAAAAAAATTGGTAACCTTTAGGGGTAATCCAATTGTCAAGTCCGCTATCTTGCAAGCAAGAGACTACAGGTATCAGGATACTTCTCACACCCTTAAGGGACGACCATCCTTATTTTTCAGAGGATATGTTTTTAAATTAGTTTGAATTTTAATAATTAGTTCAAGCTCATAAAAATAATTGATTCAAACCTAAACACCCGATAAAAAAAGAAAAATTTGGTACCGTTGAATTAGCCGAGTCCTTGTGTCCCTCTTGATTTTGCACGTGCTTTTGTTGTTGGTGCACGAAAACACCAACCACGTTCCAAACACGCCCTCTGTAGAAAGGAAATAAAAGGAATCAAAATCAAGATTTCTTTCTCTTCATGAGTCGACCAAGCCAACGGCGGAGAAGAAACTCCCAACAGTAGTAGTCAGAATAAAACTACGGACTGACACGTGTTCGGCTCACAACTCCACTGGTGTCACACGCTGGTCTAAGAAAGAGTTGCCACCTAATAGTCACAATCTTAGAACGGTCAAAAATTCAAAACCCCCAACTAAATATTGAGCGTAACAGTTACACCGTATCAGTATTGTTATGTAATATAATTGTTCAATAAAAAAATTATAAAAACGACATAATAAACCCTACTTTCTTGTAAGACTCATTTATGAATTTATTCACTTACTAATGAATGATTATGTAACGTGACATTATTCTCGATATTTTCACTAAAATCCTAGGAAAAAAAGTGAAGAGGGAGACAACATTCCCACTAGCTTAAAGAAAACTCAGCTAATATGCCTAGTATAAGAGGCAAAAAATTGATGATACCTCATTTCTAGATATTGAGAGATTGTACTCAATATTAAATGAATTCCAAACTTGGAACCCCCAACCTTCTTCCTGCAAAATGAACAAATTGTCCAAAATTGAAGTGCTTCGATCGAAGACACTCCGACGCTTAAGTTAGTAATGGTACTGGAGGAAGGCAAGGAGAGTTCAGCGTACCTTTTCCCTTGGTTCCTTCTGCCTTTTATAGATGATTATATCATTAGGGTGTCTGTCATTTTTGATTCAAGGTGACACACCTTTCTTCAATTCAGTCATTTAGTTTGGGAAGTTGTGGATATTTCTCCAACAATTCCTCCTGATATCTACAATTTTGTTGATTCGTTTACCCAGTTGCCTAAGTTATAGGCGAATCTTTATCTTTGCATTTATTGTTTCGAATAGCTCGGATATAGCGAATGTCGAACACATTCGATATTTGTCGAACAGTTTTAGGGATCGGTTTGGCACAAACCGATCTTTTTCTATTGCCTTCCCGAACACTTTAACGAACTCGGCGTGGTACAACCGAGCTCTTTACCTACTTAGCTGAACAAATTAACAAGTTTGTCCATAAAGGGAATCGAACTCTTTCTTTGACTGCCGAACCACTGGTTAGCTCGGCTCAGTTAAAAGACATAATAAAGGATTCTTCATCATGTGTCTTGCCTTGTCAACACCACATGAGTGCATTTAATGTCATACCACGTGTAGTCATTAGGTTTAATCCCTTCATTTGCCCCCAGAAAACGTCTGACAAACGTCTTTCGCCTGTCAGTCGTTTTCTTACATTCTCATCATTATTACTTGTACTTTGTAACATCCCCTTTTGTTTTGGCGGCACATTCAGAGCATTTAAATATTGCCCTTTAAAATTTCACTCTTTATTAACCGTCTCTCTTCGTATTTCATTTACTTCGCCTTTTTGCTTCCTGACTCTCAGATTCCTACTATTCTCTTTCTGCATTTTTTTTCTCTGCACTTCATCTTCTTCATGGCTCTTCTCACTCCCTCAAAAGTTCCAACCTTCAAAATCAAGTACAACATTCCAGACGATGTCGAAGTCAGAGTTGCTGGGAAAGATGAACCCCTG